GCACCAAAGTGATGCATTTTAAAGCGAAACTGCAAAAAATTAACATTTAAAAGATGACTGCAAATCACTAAAACAATTCTGCCTTACAAGCTAGACTAAGGGAAATATGGTTGGGCTGGTTATAATTTAATGGTAAGGTTGAAAGACGGTACCTAGTTATTGTGATGAGAATGAGTCATCTACAGAAGCAACAAGTCACGCAAAATTCCACACCTTTCTCTTTTTGTCTACTGGTACCTTTCCGAATTCCGTGCAAGTAAGAATTTAGTTCATTCCTTCAATTTATTCGCTGCATCAAGCTTTAAGGGCAGACTTAACACACACGTCTTTATCGCATCACAATTGTGAAGCATTAGAGAGAGCCGTTCTATTGTTCGATATAGAAGTTTTCCTACATTGCTTAAAGCATATTTGTTCAGCAAGCAATTTAGTACAGTTCCTTCCACGATTGTCAGAGGTGACTTAAGGGTTGAACTTGAAGCGATGTTAGTCTTTACCTGGCAACGTCCTGTTTCATATTGAGCACAAAAATAAAAAAAAAGCCTCAATGGGATTTCAAGCCTAGATGAGCGCATTACCACCAAGAGGAGACAAAACTTTGTGCTTTGGAGAGCAAGAACTGGCAAGTAACTTCCAGTTTCCTACAGGCGGTGTAACTGGGGAAGCTTTCATAGCATTAGGACTGTTCGAAGCCTCAGCTGAAGAGCGCCTACGATTATCCTAGATTTTCCTTACATCTAGGTCTCTGTGACTCACATGTCTGAGGCATACATAGACACGCACAAACGCCAAACACGACACAACGACATCACCCTGGTTGGGGTCGGAAATAAACGGTTGTGCCCATGTCCTCTCTGGTCTTCTTCTTCATCGCGGATAGCAAGGAAGCGTAATCGTGCTAGATCCAACTCGGTGTAGTTCAAGATCACATGTTGGGGCATGCAACAGTCTTCTGAAGGATTTGTTGTTGGCCCCAGCATGTGGTCTTGAACCACGCCGGGGCCACGGTATTATCCCTAGCCCGATTACGCTTCTCCGATACTCGCGATGAAGAAAAAGACCGCAGAGGACGGGACACAACCGTTTGCTTCAGAGATCAACCTCGTTGGTGTCGTTGTGTCGGGTTTGCACGTGTGTATTTGTACCTCGAATGTGTGAGTTATACATGCGTTAACATCAAGACCCATGTGCGAGGACAATCCAAGATAAAATATCAGTATGAGGGGGAAGTTGAGGATCCGAGCGGCTGGCGACATGCTGCGAAAAGGGGAACCCTGTGTAGGAGGTGGATCGACCGGATTAAGGGATGTGAATAAACACGATTCACAACAGACTCAATAAGCATACAATCACGACATTATTGACATTTAGAGATGGAAACTCAAATCGAAAAAGGCAGCAGTGTCGTTTGAAAGTCTACTAGAATTGTACGGATGCCTCAGGTTTCCGTGTGGGCAAAGGAAACCTGTGATGCCTTGGATGATTGAAAATATCAATTCCCCAATCTGTGGAACAGGAAGTTTTGATTCGACAAGAGAGTAGAAAGAGGCGACTACTAATTCACAGCACTAATAGGCCACACCTAAATAAGATGAGTGGGAATCGTAGTCTGCGGCTATGGAGTCGGCTACTTGACCTGTTCGTCTAATCAAATCAAAATCATTTTGGGAAGTTATAGCAGTCAGTTTACTTGAATTTGGGGCCAAGCTAAACCCTTTACAAGGAACGGCTTCAGCCAAAAACAGGAAGCATTTAAAAGAAGCAAAACACATTCTAGCTTGAGATCAAAGTGTAGCATTTACTGAGTTTCAAATGCAGCCGTTCATGCAACTTATTCGTTCCATGAAGTGAAGTTTAACACATGCCTGACTGTCATATCATTCAAGTGGTTCCACGAAAAGAAGTTTGTACGCGAGGCGCTAAGTAGGACCATGCGTAGACTATCCTAACAAGATCTCGTGTAAACACGATCGGACGGAAAATGTCAAATTGCGACTAGTCACAAATGGCGCCAAGGATACAGGAGTCATAGTTCTGTTGCTGATGTTTTCCCCTAGTATCCAAGTCGGGAAGTAGATACTCCGCTTTGTGCTTAAGTTAAATCTTAAAACATGGTGATTTTAACTCAAAATCCACTAACTTTAGCTGTTATAACAGTATGGCTAAACTAACATTCAAACTGGTCTACAGCTAACGCTCACACACATTAAGACACTCATTTGAGGGATGTGGCTTCGCTTCTTCGTTGAAAATAAACCACATGTGATTTCTTTTCTGACCTTCTTGACCTTTAACTTAAAGGCTTTGACCGGGCCTTGGAATCGTTAACTTCTTTCACAAAATTGCCTCTAAATTGGACAATTTTGCTAACTTGGATTGTTGTAGATCCGCTTTAGTCAAGATCGCCAGAACCGTAGTAAAGTGGTTGCAAACCCCACTGCATGAAATTTTGCCCCAGCAAAATAATCTATAAAATTAAGTTAGCACTCTTTTAACAAATTGGCCACATCCTTCTCCCAAGGGTAGGCAGCCCTTTCCGTGAATAACTTTGGCCTAATTAAGCCAACTGTAATTAGCGTGGTAAATTCAACTGCCGTCGATTCCCTGTAGTGAAACAGTTTTGCTGACGGACAAAAAGCACTGACGCAGGAACCAGATTAACGAGGATATCGTGTCTGGAAGGTTCATACCTTCCAGTGGGATTCCAAAAATTACCTTGAGTGATGTTTTACTTAGGCTTCCCTTCCCGATACAAAATGTTTAAGCACCAAGTTGAGTCAAATGGTGATGCGGGGTCTCGTGTTGGAGAAGTTTCCAGCATGAGTCTCGAATTGACGCATATATCTGGAATGGAATGGGAAGGCCAAAGACAAACATTAAGGAAATGCATGAATACACTTGTGCTGCAAAGTTTTTTTTCCAGACAATGCGTATGTACCTAAGTGTCACAGACACGCAGGCGGAAATCGGTAGACAGGGATGCAGTGATCTGAACATGCGCCAACAGTAGACAACACGATCCTCTACGCAAGCATCAATGATTTCATTTTTGACACCCCGAATTGAAAACTTTTCCGGACGTTATTTTTGCTGATAGTTGATGACAGTATTGCAAAGCAGAAATCTACATACTCAAAAATAACCCGACCAGATATTGCATTCCAAAAAGCCTCCTTTTTACCCAGGGAATTCAAGGGTTTCAGGTATAATGTGTTTGTTGGTGGCGCCGGCAAATGGTCTCAAACGACACAAGGGTCGCCATGTTGCATTAGCCCGGAATACCAAGTACATCGGAGACGGTGGAGACAGCCGTTGACCATTCGTGGACCCCTACAGTCTGGCTGAACTAGTTAAAATACAAACGTCTAAATGGACAGATGGAGTGAAGCTGGCAGTGGTGGTATATGCACAGGGGTGAATGAACGGGCGGTGCGCTTGAGTGACGGGCTGTCTACATTGACCCTTCACTTGAAATCCGAATCTCGCGAATTGACAATCAATTAAGTACTCTAATTCATTGAATTAAACTAGACCGTTTATTTGTGAAATTTTTCAACACTTTTTGAATAAATGAAGAATAACCTAACAAATTATCCGTCTCTTTACAGATATTATCAACAATACGTCCGGGGCACAATCGTTGTATCGTTTGCCAGATTTGCATTCCAACAGCAATTCACTGACATCTGCTAACCTTTGAATGGTCATTTGCCTTAGCAGCTAAACTTCGAATTTATTACTCAAGTCTGACGGTTTAACGGGTGATGGGGAAGAATGCTCGCGTTGACGCCACACGTATGCAGTGCTCGAGATTTGAACGAACAGTCCTCTTAGCGAAAAATGCAACCTGTTTGCGAGGCGACTTTAATGGAATAATAGTATTTCGGTTCGCCACCGACTTCGTTCCCTAATTCCACATTGCCACACCACAAGTGCGCGTAATTTTGTTCAGTTGTGAGTCAAACTACTCGAGTATTTTTTATTAGTGAAATCATATCCACGAGTTTTGATACGCAAAACCTTGCAGTTGGAGCACTTGTGGGCAGATTGAATTTCACAAAAGTTATTCCATGCATTTGAGCTTGCAGGAGTATGAATTAAGTAAGGAATGCCTGATCTATTCACAAAAAAGTAAGTGATATCTTCACCGATTCGGTCAGTGCTAACAGTTAAGACGCCGGAGATTTCGGGTAGGAAAACGCCTATTTCCTAAGCTTATCGGCGATATTCCCAAACCCAATCACTGTGCCTATGAGACCTAAGTAAATTTCAAAACCTCGCTTTCATCTCTATTCCTTAATTAAGCTGAAGTACAGGTTGGAACTGCCTAAAAGTAATGGGAAGTATCGACTTTAGGGAAAACGTTACCTCCAAAATTGATACCTTTATTTTTGGTCAAGACAAAAAGGGGGTTCTAGCCGATACGCTATACTCGGCCAAAGCATCTGTAGGTGCTTGCAGCGTCCAAATAGTTCGAGAGACTCAAGGTAAGCCAACAGGACCTAGCCCAGTCCCCTTTTGGCCGACACCACCTTCCTTGCATTCTGTTTGCCACCAAATTCCAGATTTTGATTCCAGTTTACCGACAGGAAATTATTACTTTGAAAAGGAAGGAACAAATTCGGGCATAATACCGACTTTCCCAACCGTTTCGAACACATTCAGCTTCTTGGTCTTTGGAACTACGAACTCCGACCAAAGTGACACCACGAAAATAGTCGGCCAACACAACTATGTACTCATTGGGGGATGGAACACTTATGCTAAAAAATGAAACAAAATGCATGGATCGCACCGCAATGACGAAAATGAACCCAGTAACGGATCTATGAAGGAAGATCATATTACATATATAAGCGTGAATGTAATGTATAAAAATTTGATTTTGTGGCGTCACAAAGCGGGGAGCTAGAAAAGTCACTAAATCGGCACAAATTTTCCAGGTATGATGTGTGCAAAAAGTTAGCCGGGAGATGAGTAGTACATTGAAATGTCGCCCTTTAGATGCTCTGATAACCCTGGGCACGGCGGCGGTTGCCGATGACAAAGGCAGTGATGGCCAACGCAATGAGAATGGCGGCAGTGACGCCGACGAGGATTGGGACGATACTGTTGTTTCCCGGAGTAACTATGCAGTCAACAGCTAAATATGTACAACACGAAAAGAGATGGGGCGGTTAAATAATGGCTTGCAGCAGGACTCAACATTAGCATAAGACAGAACTCGGTTATTACATGAAGAAACGAATGAAATATGCGCGAAAGTAGAGAAACCGATGAGAACGCTCGTGATTAGGAGTATGCGCATTACCAGCAAAAGAGGCAAGACCCTAAATAAACACGGATAAATTCTACTTTATGGGAAAAAATGATGCCTTGTCGGGTTGTCGCAAGATATGGATCACGGAAATGGGCTTTCAGGGAATTTAATGACTCAATCCAACCTGATTTCATTACACACCAAAAGAGCGCAATGTTAAATAAGGCACGCGTCTGCACCACGATACCAAAACACCTAAAAAAAACGCACTTTTATTGCTGAAATCGGTGGAAGAGGAGTTGCGAAAGGCTTCCATATGAAGAAATGAAACACCGAACACGACGTCTCTCTTTCCAAAAAGTGTAATATTCTGCTGCCCAGTACATGTATATCCGGTAGATGCAGGTGTTTCAAAAAATGACCCATTGGAAGATACAGTGAAAACACCTAAAATGGCAAAAAGAAACTAAAAGGCTAGTGTACATTCCTGAAAACGGTGTCGGTAGACAATCTCAAATTTAAAGCCACGAACACAAGATGCAATAACAGATTTCCCAAAAGGAGAATAGCATTTGTACATAAATGAGGCAAAAGCTAATCTAACGTTCAATAATAATCGAGTTAATCAATCTATAAATAGTTTTTTACCTGTTTCATTGGTATTTGGAAACACTTTACTGGACAGATTGTATTGGAAGGTTATATTTCTAATGATAATGCCCTCTGATTTGGAGGGAGACCTGGGCACTTTGGAGAAATCCATTGTCAGGTTGAACTTTCCTTCCGACAAATAAGGTATCCACTGGAGAATAATTATCTCATTATCAGTACCACATTTTCCCGTTACACTTGCGTTTGAATAAACAGCAAACGGCTTTGTCTGGTTGGATTTACCCTAAAATATTGGAGAGAAACTTTAAGCGAATTAACAGCTAACAACCGAGTAATCAGGCGGACACCTAGGCTCATGAATGGATTTTACTAATAACGAAAGCAAGATCATTAGCTTACGTCAAAGTAAGGCACTAGAAGCTCCAATTTTGCCTGTAAAATGATGCAGGTTATACCGCCATCCGTGAGAACAAACTTGGGAATATTATCTGGAGCTGGTGTCGTCGTAGTCCCACTCAGGGTGCCACTAGTCGTAGAAAATGTTAGTAATAATAAAATAATAGCTGCAAAAGGGTGGGACCGAAAAAGCCGACACCAGACGGTGGGACAACCCCCGATAGACATAGCGACCAAAGTGAACAAAAGTGCACCCAATGGACAGTGCGCAAGTCATAATATAGTTAAACAATGTCCTTAGACTCGGATTGCATTTGCCAGTTTGTAGCATGCTAAAAGCTATTGTATGTAATTGAGATGCACTACGGAAGGGTTTGTATATTTGATACATTATTATACTAGTATTTACTGCACACCAGTAATTAGAAGGATGACCAATTAAAATCATTTTTTAATTAAAGTGAACATTAAACACTACCGTAAATACATTGTTGGCAAACACAATAAAGATTTTCAATCAAATTTTAGGTAATGCCCGACTTTTCCAGTACAAGATGAGATCGGAATCGTTAGGCGTCATGAATTTTTACCGACAAATTTGATAAGAAATTAATTCGCTGAAAAAGTGGTGCAAAAACATTCTCAATGAATCACAAATGTTAACACTTTTTACTAGCAACTGAGATCTGCTACGGATCTTCTCAAGTTATCCAATACCAAGTTTCCTTCAGTTTTTGAAGACAATACAATTCCTCCACGTACTAACGTAGCCCTGATAATTAATTTGCCATTCCTCAGGCCAAAGACCCTAGATTTGGTTGAGTTTATGGCGCGGGTAATGCCAGCACGTCATCCCTGATTGCATTTATTCATTTTTAATTTAAACATTTCAACGGTATAAAATTAATCTTTCTGGTGGGTGACTTTTAAAAGATTGTCATTTAGCATTACGAATTACCACGCGATTGAACAAATTTTCATGGGATTGGGCAGATAAAAAAAATGAGGGAAACAAACTCTTGGTCTGAAATTCTATTAATTCCGTCCACAGTTCACTAATATACGAGTGAGGAAATTGTTGGAAATGTTTATTTGGGTGGAAAGTGAAATTGATAAATGTACATTAAAGTAATTTTAGCAAAAATTTTCAATAAAATGATACCTTTGAGAGGAATTTTATAATTAAATGTTTGTGAACAAATTATACCATGAAAAGCATCCCTTCAAAAAAAGTTAAACGTTGCTTTTCTGTGAAGGAAGCCAAATTAAATTTTGCAACCGCTAAGGGTAAAACTGACTATCAATCGAGCTTATGTCTAAGGTCATAATTTTGGCAAATAGTTAATTAATACGAGGCTACCAAAAAAGTTAGATAGCTATTTTGTTTTCCGGTAAATTCAAATTGGTCGCGAGAACTGCGAATGGGTGTTGTTCAGGATGACCACAGTTGAGATTAGGTTTGGCGGGTATGTTTGTGCTGGCCTTGTGAACTATGAGGAGGGGTCGATTAGTGGTCTTAAAAGTATTTGAATTAATGATCTCAATCAAAAAGCCATAAGGATACTTAGAGCGCCATGGATATTTCGTTGAATTAAAACCTCTTATTGGGCTTCGCGGAATCGTAGAAATTTGGTTGTTTGGCGAAAAAATATTTTGGTGTCATATAAAAGATATTCATTACGGTAGAGTTTTTCAATTGCTTACAATGTTTTTAAATTTAGGTGGCGATGGCCAGCCTATTGAAACCTGCTCCTTAATTGAACAATGCATTCGGCAAAGGATGCTGACGTAAACTTATTCAGGCTTATGGATAGACTTGTGTCTTCTTTTCAATCTGAGATCTTGGAGTGACTGCTTGGAAAATATTTCAATCATATCAGTGATCAAATATGTTCATTATCAAATTTCCTTTGTTAGTAAATTGCTAACCGATTGAAAATTGTGAATATACACTATCATTTTTTTCCAGCTTTTTTTTCTTATATACAAGTCTTAACAGTCTTCTCCACTTTTCACTCCATTTGGAATAAGTGACTGACACCGGTTCCTTCCGAAGGTGTGATCAAACGCGAATTATTCCCATGAAAAAGTATAGATTTTGGAGGTTTATAAGAATTTCGGGATTCTTTGTATATAAATGTCCAATAAAGCATCATGAGTTTGCTGGTCGGTTTATGTGACCTTAGCATTCCCGACTATAGTGGGCGATCCCGCCTCGACTTCTGCTAACTAGTTTTATACAAAGCCCACTACATGCGGCATCAGTTTACGAAAAAGCCTTCACTATACAATGGCGCCTAAAAATGTGCAGATTGTCCGAAGTCTTTTCATTTTTTATTTCCTGGTATTACTTTTTCAATGCACACAAAAGACCCACGGTCTTTTGACACGATCCCTAATTCTTGTGCACGTTTCTGTGGCAAACATCACGACAACAATTTTTGAGTAAATAGTTAAACTTATCCCTTGGTGTTGTTGGTTCGGGATTTAAATAATGTATCGATGAGTAAAAAAACTCATGTCAAAAAATAACCTCTTGAATACTCTGCTGGAACAATGTAGCTTTGTTTGCGTTACGAAGAAGCACATCTTATTAAGTTCTTTTTGACCTTGTTTTGATGTTTTTCACTTAACAAATTAGCAAACTACAGTGAGGTGAATAGTAGCCTCGAAACCGCATTTGATCGACGGAGGCGGCCTGAAATATTACCGAAGCTAGGTAGCCCGTATCCTGATTTTTTCTCGCAGTATGAATTGTTCAGTCTTTTTGGGAGATCAAGCTACTGAGCACTCACTGCATATTACTGAGGAAATTGAAGGTCAAAAAGCATGTAAAAATTTTGCCAGCTTATCACACATGTAATCCATCTATGTGTCTTGATTACACGCTATTGTGCAAATCCGCATGTTCAATGGCAATCAATAAGTATGTGAAGCTTCAGCAACCAAGTAAAGATTCACCGGAAATATGCCATTTAAGTTCGTCGATGCATCAAGCATTTGTCAGGGCCTATAAAATTCAGAAGTGCAGACAAAATTCTCCCAAACCTAATCTAGATGGGATTTAAGCGTCTAATGCTCGAATCCAATCTTTACAGTGGAGTAAATCTTCTGAAAAAAAGCTATCTTATTTCAATAATAGTCCATTCTAGAATCGCTTGACATATCTTGATACGCGGGAATATTTCACCGGTTTTAAACCAGGCACTCCTGAGATTAAGCCCCAACATGGAGTTCCTTTTGAAGTCATCACCTGCAATCATTAAGGCCATTCGTAACATTCCTATGGTGCCGCAAAACAGATGACAGCTGTACCTTTTGGCTGTTTTAAAAGTGTTCCTTACTAAAAGATTGAAGAAGCAGAAATAACTCTGATCCAGTCTTCCAAGCAAAAAGGATAGCAAATGATTGCGGGCATTTCTCAAACCAGATTAGCATATAATTGCGAATAGCCTGACCCAAATGTGACTGTCGAGTCCGTGTTTTAAGTCATAATTTTTGCTTAGAAATGTTTTTTTTAAAAACTATTAATTGACAGCATTTTTTAATAGTTTGAATGCTGAAGTGCTCGAAATATTGGGAGGCGCTAATGCATTACCAGCAAACCACTCACGAGAATTCAGCAGCATCAGTACTTCATAAACTATTTATCTGCATGTCAGTGCATCATTCCTTGGCGAAGAAAAGTTTTGTTAATTAATTATGACTTGAATTATAATAATTAACAAAAAATCTAAACTCCTAGCAAAATTATGTCAATTTCGTTCACCCAAATTCAGACAACACATGAAGCTACCTAACGGGCGATTTCAAACCGCGATTTTCACATGTCACTTTGTCTAATTTTAAAAATATTGCACTTAAATGCATACACTTGTGGGCATTTACATTCTGAGGGTCAGCATATGTAATAAATTACTAAAATCCCTAAATCTGGGGGCGAATTCAGATAATCTCCAGTGCACTACTGACACATTTGCTTAATAATGAGGTCATTAAAAACAAAAGGCACATCAAAAATACTCATGTCAAAGGCTTTTAAGAACTAATTAAGGGTGTTGATAATAATCAATTAGACAAAATTACAGGCAAACGAGAAAATCTATTTATAGGCAAATAGATATATATGGTACACACAAGTACAATAACGTAGGAAGAAATACAGCAGTTCTAAAACCCTCAATTCGCTGATGTAAGCCTTAGTTACATTACTTCAGTTAAGCAAGTCAATAACCCGTGGAGTTACAATACAAATCCCTAACTGACTGGTGAACACAATATAAGTCTGGAACTAGTCCAGAGGTAGTTCACCTAGATACAATAATCAACACGCCTCCCTTATCCTTTGTACTATCTCATTTGCCTTTTTGTCCAATATTCCATCACCACCTAAAGAATAGCGCAGAGAGGTGTAAATAACCTTCCTAAAAATTACCAAACTGCAGTTCTGTTATTTCCGATCGGTATATCATTTCACCACGAACCCATATCTCCATTATGTCTCGAACATACGGTATTTCTGAAAGTATGACGGAATGACCCTCTGATTCCAAAAGGTCTACCGAAAATTGACCCATATGCATACACGTACGAATTTACTTTGAAGACCTTCTAGTCTGTGCGTGCGATAGATCACGATTCCACATGCCTCGTATGCACCATATTTAATCGTAACGACAACATTATCATTCATTGATGATGAAATGCAAACCATAAAACCATTAAATCATGGCTGTTATGTGGTTGTCATAGCAACAGTTAAAAAACACAAACCATAAGCAGAATTTTCGCCTAAAATTCTCATTTAAAACAGCAACAAGAACTAAACTTTTTAAATTAATATTCAGTCATAACTTTGTATCAAGAAGAAATTTATTCCTGGGAAGACCGTTCATGTTGAAAATAATTAGGGATGCGTTTTTATGAATTATAAATCACCAAATACTTGAAGCCACCAGCGAATGCTCTCTATATAGATCTTTGATTTAAGGATATCCTGACTTATGGCCTTTTTCAAAGGAGAAGTCGATTAGAACTCAAAAACAAAATTCCTTAATGATATTTTCGGCAAATGCTTGAAGAGAACTATGGGTAAATTCCAAAATTGAGTGCAAAGTTTTATGTCATGCTGCCCGGTATTAAGCTAATAAGAACTACGTGAATTCATTGTACAACTGCAAATTGCAGCATAATAGTTATGCGAAAATATCAGGATAACGCATTTTGGCTGTTTAATGATTTCGAGTATTCAGTAACATCATTGCATAAATAAATAGTTTTCATGTAAACCACTACGGAAATCTGTAACCGTTTTTGTTCTGCAATTGATTCGTTTTTACCTTGCAACTCTATAATGTAAGCCATATTTCATTTCGGGACAAAGGATCTGCCTTGTAGCGATTTGACTCGTGACGATATCAGGCAACGTATATACTTAAATGCGGTGATACCTTAACACAAATAACGGGCGCTAATAAATCAAAATCCGCTAAATTCTTGTTACTTCCCTAATATAAACTGCTCTTATCAAGAGATGCCGAATTAAATTCCCCACAGGTAGAGCAAACTCCGGAGCGAACCACTACTCAACTGACTAATGATACATGCAAACAAAGGTGGCAATCTTGACGTTTCGTCACCGAAAGCCGTAAAAACTCCGTTTCACCCGTATAAACCTGAGTACCATTACCGAAGATGAAGAAAACCACACCGCCACACACCTTTGCAGGATTCTTTGACGTCTTTGTAAAGAGCTACATGCGGCTGTTTGCACACAATGATTTTGGATGGGTGTTAATCACTTTAATTTTTACATAACGGATACCCCGGGAACACTAAAAAGACTACCGACAAATGCGGTTAGTATACCTGTTTTTAAAAAAATGCTTAACCACACGCACACACAAGAGGAACGTCAAGACAACCACAAGTTACAAATTTACACCAGACAGGTGAAATAGAAAAAGGAAAAAAAAGAAGAGAATGAGATGAAGTTAAAGCTGATGAGGTTTCATGTGAGTGGGGGCGACAGTTGTCTCTAGTAGCAGATACCACAGAGCAAGACCGAGATTGAGGCAGACCAGACCCGTGCCAAACCACAGGGTGGTGGAGAAGATGAGGCAACGAATCTGCCGAGAACAGACAAACGAAGGCAACGCGAGGTCCAAGAGTGACTTAAATATCCACTGGCCGTCCAATGCGTAACAGGGGACTACATTTAACAGAACCAATGCTCCAGATAACGAGAAGAGGTACCTAGAATAAAAAAAATTGAGTAAAAAGTGCTGAAATCTGCGCTCGGAACAGGCATCACCTACAGGCACATAACTAAAGGCGCCACGTTACATTACAATTTTGCAGATCAACAGCTTACATAAGTTGCTTCAGCAGTAAAATTTAATGCACAGTTCTGTTTTCAACTTAGCTACCCCAGATGCGGACAAAAATTTGGGTGCTCTTGTGCCTCGGGTTTAAGTATCATCGAAGCGTCGCCCTGTATTGTCATATATCAAAAACGGAAGGTTTAGATGAACGACTTAGACTAGGAATAATAAATGCTTTAAAATGCGCAACCAAATTTCGTGTATTTAATCCGTATAAACTCGCCAAGCTCCATGTCAAAATGTAACCGTAGTGAAATATCTCAATAAGGGGAAATACAATGGTGCAAAAACTTTAAGTGAAGAAGGGCTGAGGCAAAACACAATTGCCAAAAATTTAAAAAGCGTTGGGGCGAAATGCAGGCTATGCCAACATAACCTAGTCGACAAGCGATTTACCCATCTGTTCTCGTTTGGATACGTCAGGATAACACTATCGGCGAAAAAACGTTTAAATAACCTCGAATTCATAAAGTCCCACCAACCAGAACATTTTGACGGCGTTTTCGGAGACTGTAAACCGGGAGTGCGATATTTCAGCATAAATTTCCATTCTCGTAGGAGCGTATCACACTCCGGAGAGATTCAACATCCGGCAACACGTCATATTCACTAACGATATATCTTCCGTGTCGATGAAACTGGAGCAGATTATTGTATTTGGGAATAACGACTGCTGCACCCTCCTTAAGACAAATACTTCACAACTGTCTCATTCGACGTGTCTTCTCAAGTTTACAAAACAACAAACCAAAGAATTGCACTTTGTGACAGCAGTTGAGAATCTCAAAAACCACTGCGATTAAAATAACCAAAATCTGTCAGTTCTTGCGTGATATAGGCTGCCAAGGACCAGTAGCCGAGTGAGTCGGGACGGACGAATACTGCCGCAAAACACTCAACTTACATACAGAACGTAGAGATTATTTGCGGCAGACGACAGGGTGTAATCTGGGGCCACCGAGGCACGTAGTTTGAGACTTCGACGGAGGCCAAAAGTTCTTCCACAGGACCGAGAAAGAGGATGGCAGGAGATCGCGCCCGGTTGTGCACGATGCGCAGGAGGCGGGTGGTGTTGTCTGGGGGCGAGGGGACGAGACAGGCGGGCCACTGGTCGTCACCGGCCACGCGACCGCAATCCGAGGGCACGCTGCACGGCTCCTTCTCAGTGACCGCTCGCGCTGGGAGACACAGGTGTTTGGGCTTCTGGAGGCAGAAGAACGAAAGACTCAGCCATGGAAACATTTAGGGGCTAAAACTCGTGCACAGTGGTCCCTTGCTCTCGATTTCTACATCACCATCACGTTCTGACGACTCTATTTACGCAGTCTAAACAGAATGCTTCTGTAGGGGCCACTTCTAGTTAAAAGATCAGCAAGTTAAAATGCATGTGGAGTGTTTGTGGAGGTCAAATGTCAATAGAAAGGCGAACAAACGACTGACAAGAGCGCGTAGAAGCACACAGGGCCTGGGGAGAGCATAAAATTTACCACGCAGCTATACGTGAAAGCAAGGTGTAAGCAATAACAAAAATAGCATGAATTTATCGCACAACACACACGATTTGGGTGTCACTCGATCTTGTGGCTTCTTGATGCCTTCACAGACAGTTATGTCCATCATTTAGACGCCATTTTGATGCTGTTAGAAAAAAGCCACGCATACTTAGTCTGTTTTGTTTAGGAGTGGATGGACGCGGAATTCCAAAGCTGAAATTTAAATTTAAAAGAGATTGAAAAGGACACTCATTAGTCACGCCGAACGAAACTGTTCTTTCCAATTTAGCATCGATTAGGGACAAGGTGGGCTAGCATTGAACCGCGCATTAATTTTGGACGATGACATAGGCCCACCACACGGGAATGGGACTTTTGAAGACCAAACGAGAGACCCGGACAGTGGTGATTTGGGTGAGGAGGCTAGATTCGGCGCCCACCTTGACATTTCGGCCACTGGCCATGTACGTGAAGCAGAGGTGGGTAGAGGCGAGGTGGGAGGGGCAACAGTCTCGCGGTGACGCATTGCTGTTGCCGCCGCCAGCGACCGGCACAGCCCCCTCCTCTTGGAGCTTTTGGCCGTGGGGTTGCGCGGGCACAACGGCGGCAAGGCGCCTGGCACCGGGCGGCGACATTGGCTGATTCATGTAGCTGCTGGGCACGCAGTAACCGGTTGTCTTGGTGCTGGCCTCCTCGAGACAACGAAACCACTCCGAGGGGGTGTTCACGGGACAGGTGTTGACCTGAGTAATGGCGTCCCCGAGGTGAAGGCCCCGGTGACCAGTGAAAACAGAATTCTGCAAACGAAAGCAATAGCTGGAGCTAAGTGGTAGGTGACATACCGGAACAGGGTCTTCGAACAAGAGTTATCAATTTTCTTAAAATGGCAACAGCAGCGGATTTTTGTGTCATGGTATTACAAAGAACCTACACACAACTAGGAAAGGTTCCTTTCGATCAAGTGTATTGCCAGTTGTTACGGCGCTGGCGAGCACTTTTACAGTCGATCGAATGATTGGATAGCACTTGTTTCAAAAGGGTGCAGAGTACTCGATATTCAAGAAGCACAAGAAAGTCTACTTGAAGAAAATAATTAAGAAACATAAAGATCTTTGTGCATTCGGTGCCAACTCAGTAGTTTAAAACAGGCAAGCGTTCACAGCAAATAAAATGTCCGTTTTAACGGGAAGTGGTATTGACTACGAGGCAACTAAAACCTCAGAACACTACACTGAGGGAGAGAGCAAAGGTCTATGACACATTGACTGTAACAGAAAATCAGAATAAACGATTTCGTCAAAGCCACATATTAGGTCAACGGCTAGACGGATTGGGGAAGAATTCATGTAAAGAGCGTTTAGTAAACAGGAGGGAGAGCACATGGCCAAGGCGGGTAGGTGCGATGGTCCACAGAAAATCATCAAAAATGGCGGTTTACAGAGCAATCGGAAGAAAAAGCGGCGCGACTGACAACGGAGTCTACCAATCACCTGCTAAGTATTACATCAATATTGGCAAAAACACACGATAGCCTTGAAACTCCCCTTCATTAAAACTCACACGAATGGCCCAATCAGGATCGTGCTTCAGTGGTCGTGTCGAATTCCGCCAATTTTAGGTATCGGACCAGATCTAGGGAGACAGCAACTTACATTCTACAAAAGTTGCCACGAGCAGATAGTGCAGCATTGCCGTGGACAAGAGCGAACAAAAGCTCTATAATAGATGACTTGTCGTCGATGGCAACTTTAACATCGCATTGACTTCACTAACCTTTTTGGGGGGCTCACAAGAACAAACGACAGGCATAGAACGCTTGGCATGAATCACTGAAACGGCTTACTGGAAAGGGGTGCGTGAATGTCACATCGGACAAGCCTTGTCTGCTTGATGCAAATTTGATGGGATTCAATGGAGAAAGATTTAAAAAAGGAATTGATAGTTCAAGGTCATACGAAACAAAGAATATCCTGCTAGGATACGTCGACCAATTTGCTTTTGATTTAACGCCTGATAAGAAAGCATGCCTATTGGGTTGTGCAAATTAAGGGGATCAAAACAGAAAATGGCTACTCTTTCGCAGACTTTGCTGAAACAAAAAAAAATTTGACAATAAATGGTAAATCCAATTGTTGAATGAGGCAGTAATTTGACATAAAAAGCCATCAGGTACAAATTAATGTGGAATATTAACTATCAAAATTTGGTGTCTACACAAAGGGGAGCATGCAATTTAACGCAAAATGATTCAATTTAAAACAGCATGAAGTCGCACAACACGAAAAAAGCTGAGCGTGGAATTAATTTACAAGGAAACAAGGAGTGCCTCTAGACGAATAGTTACTTCATAAAGCGTCGATTTACTGCTTATACGGAGATTTCGTAGAAGGCACACGGAATCAACACTGCCTCGACCGAACTTAGGGACAAAAAAGTGATGCCGGAAAAATCCAAAATTTATTTAATTGCAAAACCTGCTACAATAGATTCTTCCTTTACAACTCATGACAACAGCTAGGAATTTGTCAAAAGGTGTACACCAGACCAACAGCATTGAGGCATTAATGCCAAATTATGCTCCCTACTTATGTGTCATACGTAATACTGGTTTGACTAACCCAGCATTGAAATTCGAAATTGTTAACAAAACGCGAAATGGCATACGAAGCACGCCCAAGCAGCAAAGGAGATCACCCAATGAAATGTTACAAATGCTGCTCAGATGCGCAGTTTTATTGCTGCCTACCTTCTCCACGCGATTTACGCAAGCAACAGAAGTCACATGGGTCCGTTTTCGGCTCAAACTAAACACTTGAGTAGGTCGCTGCTTTACAAGCGACGTTCATCTTAATTAGGCAAAGGCGTGGGAGACTAGATTTAGGAAACGAGGTCAGAAATTGCAACAAAGATATGAGTTATGTTTAAATAGCATTGGCGACTTTTAAGTGTTTACGTGGTAAATTAGCAGTCATTCAATGCATTCAACGCATATCCGGAGGCTTGAATGGTGGGATTTCTCGCTACGTACGCAATTAGAAAAACAACCCAACAATTAAAATCCTAAATTTTGTTCTAACTGCAGCTTTCCGTAATTTCTAAATTTTTACAATGAATTTTACAAAAATCAGGCAGACATTAAAAAGAACAAGAAACAAGACTCATTCTGTTGACGCATTAAATAGCTACACATACAAGTTACAATATGGTGGAGAGGGCAGCTTTGCGGGAAAGCTAAGAGGTGCGAATTAGGGACACATAAAAATTAGAATACAAATTATTGCGAGAAAGTAATACGAAACACAGTTGGGGCACTAAGAAATTAAGAACCAATATAGATCGATTGATGATTAATTGGTGAAAAGGACTGAGTTACGTTAAGGATAGCTATAGTCTTATGAAAGTGTACGGTAAAGAATTCACTAACTATGACAGTTGAACGTTTCCGAAATCCCAAAACGGTTAAAGCACATTACTTACTTGTTGAAGATTGATTACGCCCACTCCCTGATTTGTCATATAAATTGGACTGAGAACCCACGGAAGAGTGTAGAAAACGAGAATGCTAATAAGAACGATAACACCATTGTGCCAAACGCCAGCACAGTAAATCTTAAGCTGTCGCAAAGGAGAAAGACTGCTGAGATCTGAGTCGCTTATATCAACATATGCGCCGGGGTAGATACCAAGGAGAAAAAAGCCGAAGCCATGAAGTCGAACCCGTTCTCGGAGAGCAGCAAGGGCGTGGCCGGCCTCGTGCAAAATGACGCACACAAGGAGTGTTAGCATGTAGAAACCAGCATGACTCAATGGCAAATTAATACCTGGCATCTGCAACAGAAGTTACAAATATTTATAAAAAAAATCGAGTACCTGTATTGAAAAAACGTATACTTACCACAGGCGTTATCAGTTGCTTTTCAATAGGTTTGCGCATAATAGTGTTATATGCAAGAAGAGAGAGCACAACAACGCTAAGGAGCATAAAAATAGCCGAGAACGCCGTGCCAACACAAAACCACACACTCCATGGAAACCAGTCAACCTCTCCAATACGTTGAAAAAAGGGATTAAGCCTCTGGGTGAAAATCCTTGCTTGCATTACTTGTATGGAAACGCCCGACTTTTCTCGAAGCTCCAGGTATTTCTGCCGAGTGCATGGGTGACTTGATAAGCCGCAGTCGACAAGATAAGCGAGAACCCAGAAGCCAAAGAAGTAGGATATGGTTGAACTGGATATCATACTTGAAAATTATTAAATATTGCAGTTGTCAATTCATTTTTAGGAAGTAAATACAGGCATACATTAAAAAGCGTGCGAAAACTAGAAATGAAAGCACATTAAAGCATTCGGGATAAAAGAAGTTAAGTCAAACAAAATCTGACGCAAATTTTATTCTCTTGAGGCTTCATAACGTAAGCAAATTTTTTAGTACAGATATATTTAAAAAGATTACTAATAGAATAACATCATTATATTTTGAAAATACTCTTGACGTGAACATCAATGATAATAGAAATCTTAAGGCGTTAATTTAAATCTGGCATTGTACAATATATGTAAATACAGATTAGGGCCTGTCTTTTTTCCTAGTTCTACACATAGGTTAATCTCGAATAATTCAGTCTGTTCTCCAAATATAACTATGCTTGCGTAGAAAAAATTAAGTTTTTTGGAAATATGAAAAAAAAACATACATTTGAAAGTTTTTTGCAAAAATAATTCACATGATTTTTACCTGCTAATATTTCGTCTCTATATGGTTAGTAAATTCATAAACAATAATTAATCTAAAATCCAGGTGGATTTATTCTTAAATCATTCAGCTGTTTTATGTCCTTATAAATGATTTATTTTAAATTAAAGGTTGCAGGATGTAGTAACATCTTGTTTTTGAATTTAGTCGTCTTTGCTCGGTTAATCGATTAAATGCAGTATATTTTTCTACATTCTGAACAAACACAATATAAATTGATTGGTTAATATTTCAGATAATATATTGAATCCATGACAGTGCATTTAATCTTTCAGTGGAAAATTGCAATTAATAATGTTGCAAATGTACCTAATATTAATTTAAAACTAATAAAGATCCAAATGCATGACAGGTGAAATTACCACTCTGGTGAACCAACCGAAAGGGAACTTAAAATGGTAAGCACTGCCAGAAGGTTTATCTGTACTATTCAAATTTCCAGTAATATCTATTGATCGCACGACGCATGTATAGATGCGCATATTACTCAGTGTATTCCAAGTCAGGGAAGGTAAGGAGCATGAACGGGGAGAGAACATGAGAATAACACCCACGATGGACCTGCATTGAGTTTTGGGATTGATTTGTTAGCTCAGACTCGTAATAAAAGGTAAAAGAAATAAAAAGAATGTGCGACGGATTCACGGAGCTACAATAATATAAGGGAAGATCAGCATATGATGATTTGACTTAATAACACAGCTTGAACTCCTCTAGTCGCAAGGTAAAATTAAAAAGCAACACATCAGAAAGCTGACCTGTTTTTGAAAGACTGCAATTTTTAAGTTTCGTCCTAAAATAACTGGTCCTTGGTTCCGTTAGTTTTGGTTGGATTTCAGCAGAAACGGTTGTTACTGCTAAAACAATATCGTGAATCCTGTTTATTCAACCCCTTAATCCGAACGCTCAACCTCCGACACAGGGTTCCCTTTATTTTGCAGCATGGCGCCAGCCGCGCGAATCCTCAACTCTTCTTTCATTAGCACGAATATTTATCTTGGATTATCCTCACGAGGTATAAATGCACATGCGCCAACCCCACGCACGACACAACGACTTCAGTTTTGTTTGAGCTCTGAAGTAAATGGTTGTGTTCACGGCCTCTTCGACCTTTTTCTTCATCGAGGGGATCAGGCGAGAGCAATCGGGCCAGGGTTAATTCCGTGGCTCCGGCGTGTTTCAAGACCACATGCTGGGGCCCGCAACAATGACGTCATCTTTAGTGTAAATCAGTACAAAATTGATCTCTACTCCTTTTTAAGTCCTTCTCAGAAATTAAGCTGGATTGACTTGATTACGTGATTGGATCCAACAATATTTAAAATTCCGTTGATCAGGTTGTTTATGCTTCACAACAATTCTGTGTTTTTTATCTACCTCAAATATAAATAAAATTACTCCTTGATTTTGGGAGTTGAACCTTTATACTTCCACATTTTTGAGAATCGCTATTTTCTTATTAACTTGTAAATCTTGCATAGTTTGAGAGTATGCACTTGTTAAAAATCCGGGATTAATGACTTTTCGATGATTATAATATTATAGTCAATGGTTTTTACAGAAAAATACTTCGTTCTACGTCCAATAAATGAAGTATTTTTCTGTTAAATGCGTCCAATTCAGAAAGTCAATCTGGAAGGAAGGATACCGTTTGCCTTCAGAGATAGGAACTTGAATTCAAAGTAAAGAATGTACTAAAGTGTAGTGAAATAGTTCAGTGTTGTTAAAAATTAAGATAGTGAACCTACACTGCTTTCCACGGCATTCTCGAGCATCAGAAAATATGTGCCCAACCTTCCTGACTGTACCTTCCTATTCCCGCGCTCTTTACCTCTGTTAGTGGCTTGTAGATGGAAACTTAGTAACTCTTTCCAACTACATCAGGTTGTTGGCAAACGTGGCTGATATTGACTTGCATTACTGAAGTGGCAAATCTGCCAAGATATTTGTAGATATCAACTGAATCCCGTGACGTATCATTTCATTTTACAACCATTTCGCTGTCGAAGAAAAATTACGCTTACGATGGAATACATTGCACGATTCTAACAAACTGAAGAGGAAAAAAGTAATTTATCTATGACACGTATAAGATTGCCATTAGATTTGATTTTTGAGTTCGGATTGTGAAAAAGACTTCGCTAACCTTCTGCCTACTTAGCTTAAACTGCTCCAGGTGTGCCTTGATCCAAATTTACACAATGAAATAAGATTAACTGTATGAAGCTATGAAGGATTCAAGAATCTGGAAAGCCGTTGCATATGCTCTTGATACGCATGCGATTTATTAGATGTCTGAAAATCACACTAGGCTTTGTTGGTGTGCAGAAATCATTCCTTAATTGATTTCGCGCATTCACTTTATGAAGCAGGCTATCCACACAACAAAGTCTTGCTTTCGAATATATACCTAAATGAAGTTATTCAGTTCGGGGCACAATTAATTAAATTAGGTACAGATTTTGTAAATGGATTTTGCATTTAATTCATGGAACTTTGAGCTCATCAACAAGTCTTATAAAGAAAAGGTAAATACATCCAATCGGCAGTTGCCTGAGTCCAATTAAGTTACTGAGGACGATTTCTTGAGCTACTCCGAACAACCCACCACAATGCTCTGACATAACGTTTGTTACGAATTGAACTCCTAAAATTGGCTGATTTTTGATAAAATTAATTAGGTGCTTCATCTACATTTTCTTCTAGACCATTTTTCAAGCATAATTTTGCTTACATGATGATTCGGAACTACAAAGTAATTTCTGAGCAACATTCGACAAAAAAATCAACCTTATTAGGTCATTGGCCCATCCAATTCATTGGAAATCAATTTTTCTCTTTGGCTTCAACAAAAGTGATGAACATTTTTAGGCCTATTGAACAGGTTTCTAGTCGAAAATGTGTTCTCTAGTACTCAATAAAGACATGTCGCATGTCAACGCCTTTTAATTTTGACAGCCTGATTTCTGAAGTCCACTTTTAGCTGAAGCACCTGGTCTCTCAACAATCACCAGCATTTAACATCAGGATATCAACTTAATTACCCCAATTCTCAACTGACCAGTGTAAAAAAAATCGTCGAAAGGTATTTGGTGAATGTATTGCTGACTTTGATCAAATAGTTTTGTATGAATTTTGTCCGCCTTACCTTTGTTTGCACTACATATTGACTTAACAAATGCATAGGCGTTGCCATTAGAGCTCATTAAATGCATTGTCTAAGGCACTGTTGTTAAACTTCGAGTTTTTAATCTGCCCCATGTCATTTGCACGTAACCAACGTAACTAATGAAGCCTATCCGGTGGCCGGCTACTGTCCAGCCTAACACGGGCGGCTCATGTTGTGCTGTTACACTAGTTACTAAGCGACGCCCATCAACTAAAACAAGCATCTGACAGGTGTTTGGACTGCAACGCGCCAAGTCTCAACTGCGCGTGCCACTCGTAAATCAGAAAAATGCAGTGTTTATCTTGTTCCGCAACTACCAAGTGCACAACGATTCACTGTCGACACTTCAACGACTTCAAATTATTTTCTGATAACGGGTTCCTAATGTCTTTGTAATGTTAGAGGAATAATCATTTACTTTGCAAGTAATGGAAGAAGGTAGCTCATTTTTAAAGGTACGTAAATAAGTAACAATAAGTTAAGAAAAATAACGTTGGATGCTATTAGTTTTGTAGTGGCGTTGCCGTTGCCGATATAGCTACTAACCTCGATGCGCCATGCCAACTAGGATATTGCATTAAGTTGACCAATATGGTCACCCAATTACAGATTTACAAGGACAAATGCTTTTCACTTGGTTAGTGACAGATTCATTCCATAGAAACCAGTTTAGTGACAAGCTCCCAAGCCGTTGATTGGAGATATTGTCAGCAAACTGCTCAGTATTGTGATTGTTTCCTTATATCACCCAGTGAATACGCTGTTTCCGGTGTTTAAATGACTTAATGGCTCCTGATCTCTTAAAACCTGACATCGCCAATTGGTCCAACATTGACTGTCCCTGTGTCTAATTGTTTCCTTTCAACCAAGCAGCAGGGCCAGTGGAAATCAACAAATGCAGGGAGCTAAACAAAAACTGACAAATGAACTTAAAAAGGTTTTGTCCTGCTTCCGCAAAGATTAAATTAAGCTTTGTAAGGGGAAGATTCATTAATATTGCAGATTCAGGTTAACGCATTTAACTCGATACCTGATCACAGAAAGAGAAGCCAAAGTCGACAAGCCAATGAGCTGATGACTAAAGCACATTCCTAAATCGATGGTCGAGGTATGCGCACCAAGGTCGAGCAGGTAAACATAAATTACGCGGTAACATTTCCAAGGTCGCCACTGGAGCTGCACTTGCGTGTATTGCGTTTGAGCAGCAAAATTATGAGTGATTTATGGAACTCAACGGTTGCATGCTTTGTGAATATTGTGATTGTAACGAGTTAAAAAGTGAAATGGTGGTTGCATAACATATTTATTTTAAAAAAAGATTTTATTGACACACTAATGGGATGGGGTGTAGAAGTCCGTGAGCATCAGACGCAGGCTCTCCGGCTTGGTGTGATTCGAATCAAATTTTAATAATCGATACGCAGTTAACATGAAAATCCACCGAAAAGACGTATTGCTTAAAAGGCAGTAGGTTTCCTAGACATCAAGTTGTGATTGATTTGGAGAAAAATATCAGATAAACATGGCAAATGCCACAAAGGGGTTTGTGAACGTTAAATTAAAGAAAGTCGGAAAGACAAAGCAGGTCGTAATTCGACGACTCGATTGAAAGTAGTTAATAACCTCTTTTTTGATTTAGGCGGGCTTGTTAAAGGAAGTTATAAATGACACTCTTTGATTGCGTTGAGGTCCCGGAGAGATCCAGATGATCTCACCGAGGTCACCATTCGCCGATGCCACGGTGTGGATCCCGAACGAAACGTCTATTTGTTGAGGCTTGATTCCGGAATTCCTGTATCTGAATTAAAGAAAACCAGGGACAACAGAAACAAAGACGTTAATTGGATGGCTCAAATGACAAGTAGACCTTCAACTTTCATGGATTTTAAATGGTTGGAAATATACTGAAGAGGGACTAGACCTAAGTACTACGTGTAATGGATGTCGTAGGCGTGAGTAGGCAAGGCTTATTAGTGACCCGTACTCGAGTCCCGTCACTGCCTTTTTTGCCACTTTTATATTCGCTTAATTGGGCTAACAATATCACGCATATTTAAAGAATATTGCAGGAAATGAGCGGAACAATTTTGGCGGTAGCAATAATCGTAAAACCACTTAATGTACAACACCGTGTAGTGCCATGCTCACTTAACTCTTTGAGGACGCCCAGTTTTTTTCAAATGCATTAGTGAGAATCATAACTGATTTAAATTTAAACATACTTTTGATGCAAACACCTCTCAATCGTTTGCCAGATGTGCAAAGTTACTGGTGTATCGGTCTGACATTGGTTGTTAGTTGTGTGTCGGTTGTGCGTGTATGCCAGGACACGTGTTCAGATGTGTCCACACACAGATTTAGGAGTGAATCACCGCAGCCCCTAGAATTGAGCGCGCACAAATCATGGACGTGATAGAGTGCATTCGAAAAAACGAGCCAATAGTTCTTTCGACTTTTGTGGCTAACGTCAAGGCGGGGTAGTTCTTAAGACATCTTTGCCGAACGACAGAGGAACGTAGGTGTGTTTGCCAAACCCTTTTAGACTTGGTTGCACTAAAGGAAGTTCCGGCATAGATGGCGAACCGGAGTGACCTTTGATCGGGGACAAAAAAATGTTTTTTGGCAAAAACAAGTCCAACATCACATCAGTCTCTGGTTCTGTGCAACCCGATTTGTGTCCTCGTCAAATGGTCTTAGCATTTAGTACGAATTAAAGCTCGATTTATTTGATTTGGCCGCAAAAATGCTACACTTGGGAAATTTAATGTAAGCCAAGATCAAGATACACGCGTAGTTTGATGGAGACGTATTCGTGAATGCTTTGTGTTAAGGCATAAACGATAACTATTTACACGTTAAACTTTTACTGAGTTGTCATAGTGGTAGTCTGTGGTATAGTAAACACAAATGACCACTGCGTTTTTGGATGATAAATCGTGGTCATTGATTTTGGCAAAGTAAGGTAGACAAGCACTCGCGTTGTGATTACACAAAATTGCTTCCGCCAGGTGATTTTAATCCACTGCCTTTTGGTAAACATGACACCAACAAAGCAATATTAGTTGGCAGAAAGTTTGAGGAACAGCAACACCACGTACCTGTCAACTGAGGTGGGTTGCATTTACCAATTGTGAAATGGGGATGCCTTACACAGATTTGATTAGTCTAGGAGGCACAGGACAAAGGGACTCGACTAACTGAGATGAAACCACGATATTGTAACATTGGTGTCATTGCAAGAAGTTGGTATCGACTGAGCAGCTGAACACTCATGAAAGGGAAAACTGACAGCCCTGGCTTTAAAGTCTTTTGATTTAAGAAATAAATTGTTTAGGAAGAGTGGAACGGAAGACTTAGTTTTTGGAAGCTGTACTTCCATAATTCTCTTCTACGACTTCCATCTGACCACTTGAACCATCTGCGTGGTTAGCAGGTTCGGCTCGGTGGCCATGTTGTGGCATGGAACGGCGTGAAATATTCACAGGCCAGTCTATGCATCGCTATCAAGGTCTGACCTGACTAAAGGTGATTAATAAGTGTAAAGTCATTAGAGTACGAGGGGGTGAGAGCAACACGGCACTCCAACATAGTCATCTGGCTCAAGTTTATGATACAATAACTTTTTAAGTCATTCTAGTATATAATGCAGGTCACTGCCTTGTTGTTAATGCCTCTCGTCTTTATTCTACGAGGGTTGAAGCATAATGATCTTAAAGTGGCCCAGACGCTACACAATCAGTAGTTTAATGTATGCTTTTTGGCCTCAAAGTTGAAGTTTGGAACCCACAGCGAGACAATCATTTACCAAAACCCCGTCGCTCCTTTGAACAGAGACAACAGAGATAGAACTATTTATGCGGTGTCTTAACTCAGACATGAAGGGATTTGAACACACACGGATGCGTACCCAGACGTGTTTGTTTAACCAATGGGGTCACTGATACGGGAAGGACAGTGTGGTGTGTCTGGTGGATTCACAGCCGTCGCTACAATCCCCGTCTGGCCGCTTCGGATCCATACTCATCCCTGTGGGCTCCCTGCTAAGCCACTTGACCTTAACTCTGTGTCAATTCCCATGAACACAATTTTTTATCATGAACTCTCGCTGTACGTGTGAATAAACATCACTTACACTCCACGCTGTTCATCCATACGACCTGAAGGCAGTGTGGGTGCTCCTTGAAGTGACCAGAGAGCTTCAGGAAGAGCAAATACGTGGTGTTATGGGTTGTTGGCGAACGCACTTTGGACCACCACCACCACTACCACCACCATCACCAGATCCATCCAGATCACAACAGACCCAAAAGCGCTCTTGAAAAATTACAACTACGAACCGTCAAACACATGGGTGAACATGTTTCGGTGGGCAAAATCCCGTTTACCAGAGATAATAACAAGGGGTTTGAAAACTTTGGAGGAAATGCCAGCTCACTTAATCGTTTTGCTGAGCTATGATTTACCTATATTATAGGTTGGGTCTTAGTAACAATTAGCGCTTGCACAAATCGAGATGAGTTAAGAATTAAGACACTAGATGTAGAAGTGGTGGGCAATCAAGTACGGATATTTGCGGGTCCTTTCATTGTGTGGGAAGCTATCACATGCGCTGATAATCCAATTCTCTCAATTTGGTTATAGAAATGAACTAAATTTATTTACAATCACAGGAATGTAAAAATTTGGCTTCGTCTACTGCCGTCAGTTAATACCTGGAGTGATAAGCACTCTAGACCAAATGTACACTACCTAAATACAGGCATCATGATTCTAAAATCAAGCAGTACAAGTAACTGCACAATATCATCTTTTAATGACAAGGTTGGCTTTCATGGAGATGACAAAATTGAAGGTAAATGGAGAGCGCAGAGGAATATTCATGCTATTTTAAAGTGCAAGGGCTTTATGCACGTTAGATTCCTTACGGAGGAAGTTGACATTCGATCTAAGAAGAATATATCATGAGCGACTTGTCGAATGCTTAAGAAGATCACCTTCGACAGTTATGATGGCATCAATGGAAAATCCACTGCGCCTCTGATTGGTCGTAAAACTTGTTCACCCTTGGAAATTGGCATGACCAGTTATGCTGCCACAAGGGATTTAATATTGCCTTTCACAAATTTACTTTCTGTTTACTGAGTTTAACGTGTACCTTGTGAACCGCGTTGATGCATGCGTGTTGCTACTGTTCACAGATGACCTGACCTGATCCAACCTTAAACCAACCGCGTGTTTGGAAAACTTCACTGGGTCGCTGTGACCTCATTGTTCATGTCGCCACGCCTGAACATGCACCAGTACGCACTGGCCGCAGACTGCTCTGATCATGCTTACCCAGTCACCAGCAAACCTTGTTCGTTTGCCTTCTTCATAGCTTTAGGGTAGAGTCGTAATTGGAGCCTATATCCTCGCGTCTCCAGTGCTACTGAGCATATCATCTTGTCGATGTTCGTAGCAAAGGATAACAGTACTGAAAGAACACCTTAAATGACACTCTGATGGACAGAAAGCAATAATCAGTCTGGGAGTTTAAGACGTGGCCCTTAGACACACAGGAGACCTATTCCTAGAATAGCAAACTAACATTTAGTGTATCTGAGAGTCAATTCATAGCATTGGCATCCCATAGACATGGAGAATCAAAAGCGCCATAAGAAATCGATGTAATAAGTGTTTTTATTTATAAACATCTCAAAAATGGCACAACATGTGAGATTGACGACAAATTTAATCTGAATTTATTTGCTTGAATTAAAGAAGGCGACCAACTCGTCGACGTCGAGCTCTCCATCGCCGTCCTTGTCATGAACTGCAATGAAGGCCTTTAGTTCGTCCACGGAAAACTGGTGGCCTTCGAACGCCGTCAGAAGCTCCTTAGCACTCACCGTGCCTGACTTGTCACGATCGAGAGACTTCAAAAATTCAACCACGTCTTTTCGGCTAAATTAGGCATTAGGGTCACTTAAACAGGGCAAACCTACGATGGCATGGCTCGGTAACTTGGCTTCACACCGACTACTACGGTGTAGCTTAATTCTCGTTTTATATTACGCTGGTGGCTGCGTGAACAACTGCTGGATGCGGACACGCGACCAATTAATTTCAATCCAGTTCAGTCGTTACCGCGCGCTGATTGGCGCAGGCTTAAGACAAAGATAAGCATGCGCACGCATGATGCTTGTTTACACGAATGAAAAACCCTCGAAACGAATCGGACCTCCCCATTAACATTGGACAACAAAGTCGGCTTAGAAAAAAATGCTCCTAAGATCGACCTTTATATTAATGAGGTCTGATTAGCTAAATTTGTGGTCGCAGTCGTAATCTCACACAAAACACTATGGATATCGTGGGCCGATCAGTTATTAGCTAAACACGATTGAATTAGAACGGAATTGTTTGTCCATTTTTCGAATAAACGTCCTAAATACCATGATTTCTAGACAATCGCTTAATTTTTCACAATGCACTGTTTGCGGCGTTTTGAGCCGAATTGCAAAAAATTCAATGTTAAAAATGGTGATATGTATCAAGTCGAACAAATTTAACCCAGATTGTAAGCGACAGGATTCCTGGGTAATTACGAATGGTAAGTCGCCTCAAGAAAACAAAACTTAAGCTGAGTTAGTTGGAAAACTGCGTAAAACCACAATGATTTAAGTGTGCATTCTGTTGACATTTTGCTTGTGTGATTTTTACGAATCATGGTTATCACTTTCGGAATACTACTGAAAAAAGACTGCGTGTCGTTTATTTGGAGGTCGACTGATTCATGCATAAACAAATAGCACTTTTGATGAATTCGGCTTCTAGTATCTAAAACGGCGGAAAGAGTTACTGAGGCTTACAAAGAAAGTTTTGATCACATAGCCCAAAAAATTGCGGGCGTCAGAATTTGGGACCGAATCAAAGCCATAATTCCATGGAATTGGGCAAGTAACCGTATTGAGGTTGAGTGTATCACAGGAAACAACTTACACTTTTGTAGACAGATTAAGGGGCTCGGTATTCAGGTCCTGAATGAACTTGTGAAAATTAGCATACCACCACACAATGAAGTCACCCCATTTGAGAGGAATAATCGCCGATGCTGAAACAATGGAAGGTCCAGTGTAGCATTAATTAAAAACGACCGCCTTGTAAAATTGAAGAACCCGCACAAGCCATACCAAAATCCGAGTTGTTTCAAAAACAATCCCTCTGTGAAGTTGGTGGAATTACAAAGGTGCTGCTTCCTACCACAAGCCAAACACCCAAACCAGATGTTAAGTGCCAGCAGGCAATGCGGAGGTAATCCAAAAAGAGCGATGAGAATTGGCAACCCTCAAAACGCTCGAATTCCTTGAAGGCAATGCAAGGGCTCATGCGTGCTTGGCGATCAGTTAAAAGATGGGGCGTGCAGGTCATATCATCGTGACCTTTCACCTCACTGAACGGCAAATCTTCATCAATGATAACAGTCGCACATCTACGTGGGACGCCTTCAAGATAGCCTGCGAATGTTCTTAGATGTTATTGAACTTCATTGATTTTTGAATCTGACAATTGCATATTTGATCATGCCTCATATAAAGCTTTTCTTTCATTGGTCTGAGTGTCAAATGTTCCTATTTGCACAGTAGAAACCACAAACCCTTTCACGTTCTTTTACCTCGAGAGGCATCGGGCCTCAACTAATTGGCAAATCCGATATGGACCTCCAGGAGCAGGAACCATTATTTACTCTTGGAGGTATCAGAATAAAATGGTCTCCACAATGAAGCCTTTTTTCTCATACTTGGTCACGTTGTACCCACGCAGAACATCGACCCCGTCCAGAAATGTATTTCCTCCACAATTCCAGGCTTCCAGGTCTTCAAAAGTCCGTAGCTTTGAGGTCGAATAGAGTTTTATGACTTTCTTACCACCCGTCCTCATTGATATTCAACCACAGAGAGTCAATGCTGACTTTGTGTCAATGGGAACTAATCAACGATAACATACTACTGAAGCACGATTAAACGTCCATTACGGCAATATATTTACCTTGAGATTAAACTAACTTACCTTCCGCCAGGAATTGCACCACTGACATACAACGATCTGATTGGGCGCAAATGGAAGACATGGTCAACTTCCCGTGTGATCTTCCCTTAATTAAACATTTAGATGAGCATCCTGTTTAATGTATACTTAAGCACTCAATTGAATGATTCTAGTTCGGTAGGTTGATCTAAAACGGATACAGAGGCCGCATCAAGTCACTGAAGCGCCAATTTCACCAGCAAAATCACTCCACACGAAGCACGTGTTACAGCCAAAGTTGTGGACTAGTGCCTGTTGTCTAAGATGGACTTTGACCGTTAAAATATGCATCACGGCATTCGTGATAAAACATGTAAATAGACGACTAGAATAAACCTCGAGCGTGCTTTTAATCACTGCTAGCTTTGTTTACGGTTCAAAATGCTAGACTTCACAAATGTGTAGAAAGCATGAATGTGCTTTGCGTCGGATAACAAAATGGACTCATTTCACTGCTTGTGCAATGACGGTGTACAATGAGTTTAAGTATTTGCAAACTCGGTGGTTTCAGCATTTATGCTGATGAGAAAGCCTTGATTATTCCTAGCAGGTTATCATTCTAAAATCTTTTTGTTACTTTTCGTGCTGGATCCTAAAAAAATTAATGCTTTTTGTATGTCAAGCCAGCCGTAAATTTGACGCAATTTAAAACCAAGCAAGTCAAATACGCATTTTGTAACACATTAATTTTAAATTATTAGGAAAAACGCAAGTCCGAATGACTGTCATAACGCATGCATAGTGAACCATTACACAGAATAAGCATGAGAATTAATGACAGAAGAAAATCGCAATTCCGAGGATTAAGACTTCGTCTAAGGTAATCGTCAGGACGATGTAGTTTGCAAAAATACCTTTTGTAGATGCTCATTCAAACTGATCCTGCAAAAATCCAGTTTTTTAGATAAGCCGGCCCATAGGGATTAGGTGAATTAGATCTTGATACCTTCAAATGCGACTTGCTTATGCATTGTGCACATCGGCTTCAGATATACACAACTTGGCTACAGTCACTGTTTAGTATGTTCAATGGTACATCTTTAGCTTGAGTAAGAAACAGCGTCTCTAGCATTAAACACCACTCAAAGACCTTCATATTCTATCTAAAGAACGTTACTTATTTATAAATTTATTTACATAAAAAAACAGCGAACACAAGAAGTAGAATCTCCATGGAAACGCACACTTGTTAAAGGCAGTTAAGAGTGTTCTTCTAGGAAGGCTAAATTGAATGACAGCCATCGAGAACAAACTGCAGGCAACCTATCAGCTGCCGACATGTGCATACACACAAATGATTCAGTGCAAACATTTCAACTGCTTGTAGTCTTAAACAAAGAGTTTAGACGGATGAACTAGGATATTTTGTAGTTTCACTTATAAATGAGGAAATCGCCAATAATACCTTTAAAACCTAACTGTATTTAAAAGGACTAGAATTTCGAAGTTATCTGGACTATCTTTCGACGTGCTTCTGCTTTCCCCTGCAGTGAATTAGGGAGGTTGGGATAGATCGGATTCCTGCTGCTTCTACCCTTTTGTCAATGATCGATCCTCAAAAGGGTTGTATCCGCTCACCTCTAGATCCCTTGCATTTGGAACGCAATCAATTGATAAGTACACCAGGGTTCGCTATCGTTTTCTTCGAAACATAATGAGTGCTTAATTAATTGGTCACGGTGTAGCTTGGATTGGATTCGTAGCTTTTATTTTAATAGGTAACAATCGACCACATTGCTTGTTACGCTGCTGTAAACAAACCAAATATTACAATTACTTGATTTTTGTCTAAATCGCGGTATCATTCCTATTTGAGTTCTTGTCAACCCTACATTGCTGAATAAAAATTTTTTAAGTGATTAAAGGAATTCATTCTGAGCCTGTGAAAGTAGTGCAAATTCTTTCTGACACATTGATTGGACACAGTCCACGCGTTGGTAATATTTATTGGCTAAAGGTGAGATGAATGTCAAACATTTTAACATGATGGAATGCTCTCAACCTACAGGTGAAATGGCAATTACTGCACGAATGCAAATGTTGGAATATCCCAAATGCTTCATTTAACAATATGTCAAGTGTCGTTGTGTCAAATGTAATTTCACTGCTGCAATGACTTCTTTTTGGAGCCATAGTCACCAGAGGTGCACCAACGTAAACTTGGTGGACAGAAACATTTACGAACATGCAGTCACAAGAGAGTAATAGTAATTTGAACGATTTCTAATACTGTCATATGACAACTTCATATTGGCGCTCTCCTTATGCTGAAACAACGCATTCATAGCCCAAATCTCTTAATAATACAGGATACTCAAGGCCTTCTAGAGTCGCCGACGCTGACACTTAGTGGATCTGAGACTCGAGTACAGCCATAGTGGGTCAGTCAGATGCCGAATGCTATAATTACACTGGCCAATTTGATAAAAACTTTTACGTAAGCTGAACCAAAATCTTCCAGTCTATTAGTGGCTTAAAACTGGATTTAAAACTGGTTTTTCATCGCTTCTGGCACGATTGGTGATGCGAGCCTCATCCTTGACTGAAAAAACGATTTCGATGGGGCTACTAAATTTACTGGTGGTTATTCAATGGGCAAATGCCTTAACATGATTCATTTCTCTATGTATGGTAAGATAATGTGGCAGGTGCAAGCACTGTTCTTTTGTGCCTAACTTATGACAATCCGTGTGCTTTTTAAACCAGTTTTTCAGTTAAAAGGTCCCGAAACATCGATTTATCAGTACCAATTAAAAACATCAAAAAGCAGCTTAGTTGAACAAAAATATCAACACGATAGCAGCTGGATATTCTAGGGTGGTAACCGACTTTAAACAAGCTGTGACAGTAGTAAATCATTCCAGCTCTGAGGCAGAGAAAATTCACCAGCGACGACTTGTCTGACTGGATAAGAACATTTGCCCC